ACTGTCGTTACTTTCTTCTTTTGTTCAATAGTATGACTATGATTAAGTGATCGATCATCAAGTTTTGCTCATGCATGGTTAGAGTCTTAAATCTCTTTAAGAAATTTATGAGCCCTAGGGTTCAAATTGTTTGGCAGATTAATTTTTCTATTAGGAGTGCTTTTTGTGACCATATAAAGAGAAAACCTTAAAGCATTATCCTACTTTCTTCACATCTCAGATGATCTAGCAAAATCTCAAATAAATGACTTTTTTCTGGAGAAATATAAACGATTTAATTATGGAAGTATTAACAAAGTAAATATTAATTAAATAACTCAATAAATGCCATTTTATTATTGTATGAGATTGATGCAAGTATAGTTAAATTAATTTATACGTCCTAGAGTTTGTTGAATGTTCCGTGCTCTAGCTTGCTCTTTGAACAAGTATGCGTCTCATGTCTTTTGTCATCCCTATTTAAATTCTTCCATAAATCTATCATGAAATTAATGATGCTAATTTTTAGTATTTTCTCTTTATTTTTGACAATCATTTCAGGACGAAATGAAGTATAAAGACATTCATATGCCCAAATTAACTGTTGGCTCCATAACATTTATACAGTGGCAATTATTATCCTATCATTTCCATTGTTTTCTCATGCATCTAGGAGTTAATCATTCAGATATCTAAGCCATGAAAAGAAGAGATGAGCAATATATTAACTAGCTTCTCACAAACTCCAAGGTTTTATTTTTGTTTCCCAATGCATTAGTTGCATTGTATATTCTTTCTCCATCATCTCTTCTTTAAGAACGCAGTTACCTTTTCCAGGCTTGATTTTAGGTTAGTTATTGTCTAGTTAGTTACTCTCATCATTGCAAACTTGTATATATTATACAATATTCCATTTACAACAAGGCTATATACACACGCATATCTATCTATCTATATATATATGTGTGTGTGGGAGAGAGAGAGAGAGAGAGAGAGAGAGAGAGTAGCTAGTAGTAGCCCTCATTTGATACCATTCGTGCTTTTGAACAAGGCAAATGGGAGAAGAAAAAAAGAGGGAGACAGAGTATCAGTCATTCCTTTCTCTCTTTTTCCCCTTTGTTCTTTTAATACGTAGAATACTACCTCTTTCTTCTCAAGCTAATTTTTTATGTATTAATGCAGTTAAGAAGCTTTACGTTTCTTTTTCCCCATGGAGAAAAGAGAAGGTGCTGCAACTTCCTTTATTGGTTTCAGAGAAATGTGGGGAGAAAGAGGAGAAACTGTTCATGTGGGGGACATACTTGACCTCTAGAGGATAAAATTCTAGCCCACAATGTTTAGCGTATCTTCAGAGTTTTGATGTAGTGGAAAAAAAGTTTATCATGTTATTAAAGGTTTACTCGTTATGCAAAAACTTAGGATTAATATGAGATTGAGGGTTTTAGCAATCTTTTTCGTGTTGAAACATTGACCCACACATTGGATGCATGTGTAAATCTATTTTTAAATATGTGGTTGATGAGATTTGAATCTAGATTATTATCATACTATGTTAAGTCCCTTTCAGTTTAAGGAAACTCCAAAATCGTGATTAAATTCAAGAGTTGTAATTTTGTGTTCTCACACAAGTTAACGTTGTCTAGTGACCTAGCGTGTTGCTAGAGATAGAACTATGACCCTCAATTTTCAGCACATCTTTAGAATATTAGTGCAATGTTGGTACGTATTAGCTTAACAATATATGTTCAAATTCCCATTTGTCACAAATTTTAAGCGGATGGATAGTTCAAATTTTGGCATATAGATGGAGCGGTCAAGCTGCGGAGGACGGTTGACATATGTCAAGGACAATCTACTCTTTGATCAGTATATATTAAATATAGGAGTATTAGATATGAGTAACTTCTTGGAATGGAATTGATCGAAGCGGTATGCTAGTGCATCTACTGTCTACCAATAAACAAAATGCTGCACATACTTTTTCAAAGTGAGAAAGAAAGTAAATGGGAAGTTTCTCGGGCTAGTTTAGCATTGGGAGAGGTGCCTGGGAATTGAGGTAGTTAAAAAAGGATCACAGGAGACAACTAATTCAAGGCTCTTTTATCAAGAGAGGAATGGATCATCTTTGGGAGGAGAAGAAAGCACCTCGGATTCTGTTTCGGTCTCTTGACAGATAATCTACAGACAGCAAGCTTTGGATTTTGCAAAAAGAAAGCAAAGCAGACGCGAGAGCGAAATCGGGAGAGAAAGAGATAGAGAGAGATGGGAGAAAAGAGAAGGATTCAGGACAAGAAAGTACAACAGTTAGGGGAAGCTTCACTGCGGCAGTTTAAGCATATATTGCATTCTCTCTCTCTCTCTCTCTCTCTCTCTCTCTCTCTCTCCCCGCCCTATGGAGCTAGCAAGACCTTTTCTAATAAGATTATTTTTAGGATGATGTCAATATTAGTGTTAAGTCTCATGTTTATGAGCCTACGGTCTAATTTTTTTTGGTAATTTACAAACAATCGCTAACATCGTTTGTCTAGTGTTTGTATTTGTTTATTAGGTATTTTAGACAAACATCGATGTTAGAGGTTGGTTAGATTGCGTCTACACGATCATATCCATTGGAGGTTGGAAGGAGAATAGAAATGAAGTCGTCGATATTCAAGTCAAATACGAGTTCATGCTTCATACCTTTTATCAAGATGGGGCCAATGGCGGAGCCAGGATTTTAATCCTATGGTGTCCTATAGATGCATCGGTAATGGTGGAAAATACATCTCTCTCAACATAAGCCACCAAACTATCATTAAGCTGAAAAAATTCGAACTCGCGCGCATGCTTGATTCCTTGCGAGATTCGAACCCGCGCGCATGCTGGATTCCTTGAGACCCATTTCCGCTAAACCATCTATACTTTTGTTATTTTTATATGTGCTCTCTAGTAGATACTCAGTTTTTACTGGTGTCCTGGGAACTCAGGGGCACCCATTCAGCTCCGCCCTTGGATGGGGGATTGTCCAAGATCGAACTTAACGAAGATTTTCAACTTGGGTGTAATGTTTCAGGTTTATATATTGTGTGTTGATACTTCAAGCTTAATTTTATGCACACACATATTCCTTGATTTTATCACAATTTGGGTATTTTTATGAAAATACTGTGTTATTAGTTTATGGACAAAATAATCTTTATGTACATGTTTTATTAAGTGTATAAATCAATTAAAACGGTTACATAATTTGGTTTAAGTCAAAAGTCAAAATCTAGTGTTTTATATACACACGTATTTGTAAGTTTTTGCAAAACAAAGATATTTCACAAACGAGAAATGATATTTCAAAATTTTCTTTTGTAACATGTTCATTTTCATGTTTATAAATATTTCCCCAAATTTTATATTTTTTAGAATTTATTTGATATTTTTAAAGAGGGTTTAAAGTTGATTTTTACTGTTCATAACAGGCTGTGTGCACGTTATCAGTTGATTAACTACAGTGATCAGTCGACTGATGAAGTGAAGCGCAAATAGTGGTTTTTGTCTGCTCAGTTGACTGATAATGCATTAGTCGACCGATGTATACATCAATCGACCGATGCCTGTAATCAGTGGACTGATGATATGGCTGTTGCACAGTAACGACTAGTTTTCAGATTTTGTTGTTTTTGATATATTTATTTATTTTTACTGGGTTTTTTGAGCTTGGCTCTTGTAACCTATATATACCCTTTTCCTTAAACACTCCAATGATCTAAGAAAAGTTTTAAACAAGTTTTTACAAGTGTTTAAGGGTGTTTTAAGTTTGTTTTATAAGTGTTTATGTGAAGAGAGTTTCACAAGAGGATGAGATCTTTTCATCTACTGTTTGAGCTTCAATTTCTCATCTCCATCACTCTTGATTCTTAAAGAAGTTTTTCTAAACTTATTTTCTAGCATATTAATGATCTAAGAAAAGTTTTAAACAAGTTTTTACAAGTGTTTAAGGGTGTTTTAAGTTTGTTTTATAAGTGTTTATGTGAAGAGAGTTTCACAAGAGGATGAGATCTTTTCATCTACTGTTTGAGCTTCAATTTCTCATCTCCATCACTCTTGATTCTTAAAGAAGTTTTTCTAAACTTATTTTCTAGCATATTATATATATATATATATATAGGGAGAGGTTCTAATAAAAACCTAGAGAACTAAAAACCAATCTTAACCCTACATTCTATTTCATCCAATGGTCAAGATTGAAAATGGCAGAATTGTAATTAAATACACATCAGCTGACAAATTACCAATAAAAGGGGTACTTTAGGAAAAGCGGCATTAATGAAAACACGCTGTAATTAATTACCAGAAGCTGTCGAACACTTCTTTCGACAGAAAAAACGATTCAGTTTCACTCTATTTTGAATCCAGTTTCATCTTCTCTTTACCCCAAGAACTAAACTCTTCACATTCCGTTGATTTCTCAACAGTTAGGTTTCTTTCAACATCTCATTACAACTCGAACGAAGACGACCAGCAAGACTTCGACGATCGAGATGAAGAAAAACAACACAGAGACTCCAAAACCCTCGTCTTCAAGAACAGGTAAAACGATTCCAACCCTCGTATTAAAAATGTAATTTTTTTTATCAAAGTTTGAACATTTTTCATAGATTCAGTGTGGGAAAAGTTCGTAATTTAGACGTGAATCACTTGCATGTTGTTGAAGACTTTTTTTTTTAGCTTTATAGAATGTTACTGTTGCATGTTCTAGTTTAGGGTTTTTATTTTTTACATTTTCCTTTATCTTGTTAAATCAAAGTAAGTTGTTCTTAATATTATAAAATGTTTTCATCTGTTCTAAACGGGTAGCGATTAATTCTGGTTGTCTGGATTCTGCAATATGCACTCTACTTGAATCTCCTCCATTCACTTCAGTGAAACGAGATTCACTGCAATGAATCGAGATTCATTTGAGTGAATCGCGATTCATTCGATGTATCTCTATTCACTCAAGTGAATAGCTATTTAGTGGAGTAAATTTGTATGCACTCAAACATAGAGAATCTCGATTCACTAATGTGAATCCTGATTGTTCGTAGAGAATTGAGAATTGAGATTCACTTTATTATGATTGTTTGTAAAAAATAACAAATATGATCCTAGGCCGAGTATATAGGATGGAGATTTTCCCAAATATTATCCGAAGCCAAGTATATAGGATGGAACAAATTAAATGCTTTATGTATACTAACAGTGAAATTAAACTGTAACGATGATAAGTTTTTCCTTTTTGTGTTGAGGGACAAGACACTGAAAGAATGTATGGTATGGCATGGAGTTGGTTTCATATCATTGAATCTGGATTCAATTTGCTGAAGCTCGATACAATTTGTTGAATCTGGATTCACTTTGCTAAATCTCAATACATTTGGTTGAATCTCGATTCACTGTAGTGAATCTAGATTCACTTTATTGAGTCTCGATACACTATAGTGAATCTAGATTCACTTAGAGTGAATCTCGATTCAATACAGTGAAACACTGTTGAATCGCGATTTAGTGCAGTGAAACGAGATTCATTTCAGCGAAATGCTATTCACTCCAATGAATCGCGATATGTATTATAATATCTATATTCAATAATGTGATTAAACCTTCATGCTTGCCATGCATTATGCAAAGTCTGGTATCATTAAAAAATGAAATGTCATCGATTTAGCAGGTCTACGATCTAGTTCAAGAAACAAACAAAAAGCATCTGTTGAGGTATTTACACCTATAGATCAACAGAGGACAACACGCACTGTGAACATGCAAAACAGTGACGATGACTTCATCAACCCCCCTAATAATCCTGACAGTGAGGAAACATTAAAGCGTGCAAGGGATGGAGACAGTGAACAGACACCAAAAAGGATGAAGAGGAAAAAGGTTGGTATACTAAAAATCTTTAATTTTTTTTGTGTATTCAATGATGGATAATTTGATCTAATTATATTATTTTTTGGGGTGGAGAAGCTTGCGAAGAAAAGACATGTGAGGTCCAACAATGACGATAACCTCGTCAACCCCCCAAATAATCCTGCCGATGAGGAAACATCAAAGCGTAGTAGGGATGAAGACAATGAACAGATGACAAGAGGAAGGAAAAAGATGAAAAAGGTTAATGTACTAAACATCTTTTTACATTTGTGAACGATTAACTCTGGTTGTCTGGATTCTGCAATATGCACTCTACTTTAAACTCCTCGATTCACTTGAGTGAAACGAGATTCAATGCAGTGAATCGAGATTTCTCCAAAGATATTCTCTGATATGGTTTCGTCACTCTCTGACTCCCAAAAAGAATGGGTGAGACTAGCTGGACTTGGGCCTTTTTACAATTTGGATTAAAGGAACTGCCACATCAGTTGGGGTACCAGATTCTGCAGTCCTTTGACAGTGAATCCGTTGCGCTTAATCTTCCCAGAGGATCAATCAGTATCAC